GTCTGCCTCCGCGACCCGAAAGGAGAAGCGGCGATGGAAGATGAAGATGAAGAAGATGTATTTTTGAATTAACTTTTCGTTTGGCATGTTTCAAACTCTCCACAAACTTTGAGCCATATTTTATTATCGTGTATATCATATTTTCACCGTATTTTGTTATCTAACAGAAAGAATGAAGCTCGAAATCGAAGCATTCCTTACTGTTTAGACTGCATCTTTCGTTTCATGCTCGCTGTTCGATTTATTGTAGGCATTTCTAATGTAATCCGAGATTAAAATTATCCGTTTTTGCCTTGCTGACGGTGATCGTTTAGAGTTTGAATTTCCGGTTACCAGAATGGACCACGCGTAAACATCTGGTCGTGTTCAAGTTTGGCTGATAAAAGATTCCGCCTTTCAGCAGTTTCCTGTATATTCATGTAAAGATTGGTGGGCTTATTCTCGAACAAGTTACTACAATGACGTTCAGCGGCGTAATCAGGCGGCAGCTAAGGTAAAATGATTGTCTCGTGGTTAGCCATTATTAGTCTATTCGACGTAATAACGTAAAACGAAACTATTCTTACTATTTATTAACGATAAATTATTATGCGTTGGTAATTTTAATGCATTCCATTTTACATGGCAGTTTGGCGATCGATTTGTAGCATTTAGTCTGTTTTGCCATGTATATAACCCGTTAATGAATCATTAATATGTATACAGCGGATTTGTGAAATCCTGTAATAAACCTGTTCCTGACGCATAATTGTTGAGTGCAAGGCATCGCTTTAAGATGGAAATCGCATTCTAATAAAATGCTGGATGTTTTAACCCTGCATGGTCAAAATGCCATGAATCCTCGGTCTACTGAAATAACCCAACAGGCCTTTAGGAGCTTTGAGCAGTTATCAGTCAGCCAGTCAGTCAGTTTCGCGAAGGCAGACGCGTTGGACAATGTTGCAGTGATTCCTTCATAACCTGAGTCTGAAGCAGAGTCTTTCAGGACAATTGTCTCATTTCGTTTTTGGCCTTCGTATGGATCTTGGGTCATCGTGTATGCAAAGTTATATGCACAGAAATCGAATAATAGACTTGAAGGCCATATAAAAGATCACTTCAATTTTCAGAATTAAATTAAATATTGTAGCATAGTATTTTATTAGTGTGTTATGTAGGATGTAGCTTGTTATAGTGTCATTAATAAGCCGATAGTTGCTCTTTGGGATTATGCCGTATTATTCAAGTGTCTACTTTCTAGCCTTTTCCTTATGCTGCCAAACTGTTCTTTTCTCTGGGCAATCCTAAAATACTGGAATTTTTAGATATTCGTGTCGTAGACAATTCAGTCAGTTCCAACTTGTGAATCGTGGCGTAGGACGAGCAGGGTTTTGATTACTATCATCGGCGTTGGTTAAACCATTAAACATATTTTTCTAGCTTGCTGTACATATTTCCAAAGGCAGGCGCGTCAGTGCATTTTGTTCCGGTGAGAAACTTTGGCATTGCGGCTAGAATAGTCCGTTCGTTGTTGCGGTTGCGCTATCTACTGTTAGGCAGTGTGATCGGCGGCGGTGTGACGTTGAGTCAGGTATTGGCGAGGACGATCATTAAGGCAATACATACCATTGATTTCGTTTGTTTCTTGTTTTAGACGCTTCACTCTTGGATTGAGCAGTTGCCGGATTTCAGCGGTTTAAAAACGTTTCTGCCAAACGACGAGCAAACACAAAACATGCTCAGTGCTCTTGAAGACTTATCAGT